AAACTTTGTAAAAATTTCGGTTAAATCTTTGCAGTAAAACCTGATAAATCGTTTTGAACAAGGCAGTTACAAGAAAAGTGCGTTTCAAGTTTCCCGTAAAGTCGAATCGATTTGAATACTGAGTCGGCAAATCCATCTGAAATAATTCGAATTTTGAAAAATCCTATTCTCGATATCGTTTTGAATAGTTAAACTTAGAATATCATTTTTTTTATTTCTAGACTAGAATACCCCTTTCAATTAAACTGTAGTTGTCTATTTCCACACATAGAATGGTTGAGACTGTTGCAATATACTCCGGTATTCAGTTAAGTGACAAAATAAGGAACTCGAATTTGTTAACTCGRCCGTGACATTTTTACGTTGTAATTATATACATTAGATCCCTATGCGAATCCATTAACAAAGTTACAAAAGTAGTGTTACATCAGAGCCTCTCTAAAGAAAATCATTGCGATTATAGACATATCAGCAAATTATGTCCAGCTTCTTTTGCGCTTATAAATATATTTAAATATATCAAATCTGCATAGAAAATTGTTAACCATGTTCGTTTATACATATGTACATATACATATATGGAAGAGTTGAATAGTGTATATCGTCACCTAAAATGCAAAATAACGTAGCATTAAAAAAAAGTTGAAACTCGTTGTCAGATATAACAACTAGTATATAACCATTTTATAACGAAAACTCTAATTTTGTTGCAATATGAGTGTATGATAACCAATAAATAAACATTTTATAACCAAAACTCAAATTTTATTTCAATATTAGTGTTTGCTCCTTCGCCTGTAAACTTATGAAAAGTGATGTTACGTTATTGGCATTTTACTTGACAATTTACATATGTATGTATATGTCGATATACATTTATATATATCCACATATCTTCAAGTACKCAAACTTAACCAAAACTTCCATTTTACACTTATGAAGAGGCGCCTATAGATTTTTATTTAAATTTTCCCTTCTAAGGGTCGTGCTTACTTCGTCAGCTTATTTTAATTTTGAATTTAATTGTMAAATTTGCCCGCAAAATCGTTCAATATTCACGCTATTTTCCACGTAGTTTTATTTTCGATATCAGCTGCATTTCAAACAGGGTTTTACGGTTCACTTAATGCTATAATTATAATAACAACGTATATATTGAATAACAGACAGGCGTGTGAACCAAAAGTAACATTATTTTTAATAAACTAAAGTATAAGCAAACGAATGAGGTTCATCTTGSAAACTTGAAGTAAAAGTGCATTTATAAACATGGCACATTTTAACACAAAAAAGACATCTCAAAACATACTCAACATTTAATTGTCTA